TTTCCATCGCCGCTGTGAAGTCACCGCGGGGACAGCTCTGGCCGCCTGGAAAAATAAATTAAAGGGCGGGATTTGCCTCGGGCAAAGTGGTGGGTAGAGAGGGGTGCGCAGGGCGGCGGCGAGGACACCCCCCCCCCCCGCCTGAACAGGGGGGGCAGCCTACCCTCGGGGCGGCCAGCTGCTCCCTCCTGCCCGCCGTTTAAAAACGACTCTCCGTGAAACCTGGCTCCGTCTGACTGAAGGGTGTTTTAACAGTGGAAAGTTGCAACTTTTCTGGAAAGCTGAGGTGGTGTGAATGTAATTGCACCTTGTATTTCTACTGAATCAAAGGCACGCTAGAAACCTATGAAAGGTCAAGGCTTTTCGTATCCTCAGCTGCGTTTCATTGCAAAGCGACTCACAGCATTTCATCGGGGTTGTTGCATGTGGTTAAAAAGAAAATGTTATGAAGGCATGATAGTTGACAGAAAACTTCGTTGATTCAGATTCTTGCAATCTTAGAGAGAAATCAAGTGTTTCCCTTAAGAAATGTGTACTGAAATCACTAGATGTTGTAGGAATGAGTATGAAGCATCATTTTAACTTTTTCTCTGCTTTGCTTCTACCTTTGAATTTTTTGTTAGCTCTTCTGCACATCAAAATACATATTCTGTCAGACTTCACTGTTGTAAGTTAGTAATGTTAAGAAGTATGGAATTTGAGGACTACTTTCCATGTGTAAGGACTAGCAACGCTGGGACCTTAATTTAGAAGTGTAACAGGATAATAAATTATGGGGATTTTAGGTTAAGACTGTTCCTTGTCAACAGAATACAGCAACAGCTTCCAGTTTACTTTAACTTAAATACTCACTTTTAAGTCTGTTGAGTACTTACTGAAGCTGACACTCAAAGCCATGCGTGCAGTGGAATTGTTAACTAAAAATACAGGAAAATCTCAAAAACGAAAGCATGGCTGGATCTAGCAAGGATGCTCAGTTGGCATGGCCCTTCAGTTATCTACCAAATAAAGCGAATCAAAGGAGTTACTTTTATGAAGGGAGTATTCCTTTCTTACAGCTGAGAGTGCGGCAGAAATAATGGAAGTAGCAGTAGCTAATATTTTAATTACTGAGCTCTTACATCTTTATTATGTGTGTTTTGTTTAAGCATTCGGTAAAGAAAAAGACAAAGAGAAGAAGTTAGATGATGACAGCACCAGTGCCACAGTCCCTCAGTCAGCTTTCTTGGGCCCAACATTATGGGACAAGACACTGCCATACGATGGAGACACTTTCCAGTTGGAATACATGGACCTAGAAGAATTCCTCTCAGAAAATGGCATTCCACCCAGCCCAAACCAGCACGAGCATAGCCCACACCAGTCAGGTCTCCAGCAAGCTACCTCAGCATCACCTTCTGTCATGGACCTCAGCAGCAGGGCTTCTACTTCAGTCCATCCAGGCATGGTGTCGCAGAACTGCATGCAGAGCCCGGTCAGACCAGGTAAATCAGCCCTAAGAACTTCCTATGGATTTTGGCACGAACCCTCCTCCCCAGTGTAAATCATTACTTCTGCCTGCATGGTTGACAGGCAGCTTAGAGAAACCCAGTATGATTCAAGTCATTCACACTCGAAAAAATAAAAATAATAGCTCTAGTTATTGCTAAGTTACTCCATCGGGATTTTTGTTTAAATTGTGTGAGGAAGCTGTGGGAATTCCAGGGAAACTTGCCTGTCTTCTTTTCTTCGTTGGTAGCCTAGCTATTAGGAAGTAAAAAGACCACAAATGGAATACTAATGCATAGATGTCATGGTGTTAAATGAACAGGGAGAAGGACCATGAAAGAGAGTATTTCTTTGGCCAATATTTGATGCGAGAACACAGTAGTGAGCAATTATTTTGAAGTTAAAACTTAAAGACAATGCTTCCAGTTTGAAATTTTGGCCATAATCTTTTGCTCTATTAAGCAAAGTAAAATTTGCCACAGTACATGGGGCAGGAACTGAATTTTGGAACTGCATTATAATCTTGCTTAAATTAGCATAAACTAAGTGTAACTCTGACTTGAGTTGATAACTTGCATCTATAGTCACCTTAAGCTGTAGGCAAAGAAATCATCATAGAGTCCAAGTTCTGATTGTAATGCAGGGTTCAAACCCGTTTGATGTCAGTGGAAGTCTTCCATTAGTTTATTAGCACTTGAAATCATCCCTTTAGAGACACTAGTATGAATCCAGAATAACTGCTCTGGCTTGACACCAGCATGGCTGAGATCATGGTCAGTGGAATAGTGTCAACACTGAAGTTTAGAAAACATGGAGCTTTGCCTTTTTTTTCTTTTTTTTTTTAAAAAAAAACGGAAAACATGGAGCTTTGCCTTTTTTTTTCTTTTTTTTTTTAAAAAAAAACAAAACAAGGGTGACTTATTTATTGTGCTCTTCTGCTCACACAAGGTTTGCTAGAGCAAAGTGTGCTCTTGGCAGCAGGAAACCACTCCTCTCCTTTCTGCTTGATCGTTTGCCATGCTCAGCGTGCGAAGTCATTGTCAGAATCATCTGATAGGGAGACAAAATAAATAAATAGAAGGACAAAAGTTGTGGAGCAGGATGAAATAGAAAAGTCTTACAAGTCTGCAACATTCGTTTCTCATTAAAAAGAAATAAAACACCCCTCAAAACACCCCAGACCTGTCAACAGACTCCTTGGCTGCAAGTCACCAGTGTGTGTTTAGTTGTGAATTTCATGTACTTCTACTTTATGTGGATTTGACTTTGTTTTGTATTTCAGTTTCGAGGCATTTCATAGTTAACTAATAACTTATAAGGGTTTCCAAAGTTAAAATATATTTGGAGGTGGCAAGAGCAGAATACAAAAAAACCCTTGCTTTTTCTGAGTCAGTTTTTAAAAATAGTGCGTATATGCTACACCATTTTCTGTCGCGTATACACACATAAGATTAAAAGCAGATAATCTGTCCTCATTCTCCCTTTTTTTTTTCAGAGGAGCCTGGTTATGAGCCAGGCTTTTAATGATCACCTGTCAGAATTTATTTGTAATCAGCTGTCCGTGTCACTTTTCAACTCATTGATTATTTTTTTTTGAGTTTTTCCTGAGCCATTTGCAGCAGAGCGTTACAAATTTTTCTCGCTAGAAACTCTTTACACTTTTTTACAGTTGTAAAAGAAGTCACGTCTCTTGGGGCAGGATAAAACATCTAAATTTGCAGGTATTTTTTCCCCACACCATCTTGCCTTAAGGGTACTATAATTCTTTTGTTAAATGTGTTTTTTTAAAGGGAGCTCATTCCATTTCTTAAAATAATACTTTCTTCCTCCCCCCATTACAACTAGGTACTGTGACTTAATTAACAGTAGTCTGGTTTATCATCAGGTTGTTGGAATTTTTATGTGATGTCACGTAAGAAATCTTACTTTGACAGTCTGTTTTGAAGAGGAGATCATCTTGGAGTTTAGCATTGGAGCAAGTTTTAAAATAAGACAGTATATATTTTAAAAAACAAATTTTTATTAAAAGTGAGTATTTAATGTTGTCATAAAAGTGCCAAGGCAAATGTGCTGCTTTGAAATATGAAAGTTAGTCTGGATGTAAATGTTAAAATCGTTATAATGGAGCCTTTTGGTTAATACCTCTTAAGACTTTTAAAATAAGTTTTTTAAACTGTCACATGAAGAAAGGTTTTTTAATTGGTACGAGCTACTGTTCTAATATGCATGGCTGTTGTGACTTGTATTATTATAATAAACCCAAGAACAAATAGCATAAAGGATACAATTTAAATAAAAATTAAATCCATGTGATCTCACTATTTTTAGGAAAACTGTATTTTTTAGATGATAGTAATTCCTCTAAAAATATTTCATTTTTGTGTTTCCTGAATTTTGTCTTACAATGGAAGCCTGTGTGAGCATGTGGACTCTGGCTGAAGGAAAGGTCAAATCCTGTACTGCTTATGTCCCTACTTTAAATGGCTCCGCAGTGTTTAGTATCAGTGTATCATATGCAGTTGCGTCCTGTACCTGCATGTACTGTGTACGGGGGAGGATGTACACATGCATGTGGAACGCTGAACGTGACTCCTGTACGTACATGGTGTGTCTCGGACATAGAGGACCTATAGAAGAGTGGTATAAGAAGACTTAATTTTATGCGTGTGTTGAAATACAAGCCTTATCTGTCTTTAGAAGCTAGTGGTATTGCCCAAATACATATTTTTTACCATCTCTGGAAGAAATGTGGAAATCTGCATTGGCATTCACTGAGAAGCATCCTCAGGCTCAGCAAAGCTGAGCTGACTCTGACTGTAAACCTGACATTACAAAAATCATTACTGATTTTTTTTTTTCCTTAAAGGTAAAAAACAAAACACCCCCAAAAACAACAACAAAAAACCATAAAGGTTCCTTATAAATTTAACTTAATTCTGTATTTCCAGCTCAGATTTTCTGGTGAATGGAAAAATGTTTAGGCTCACCAGGTTATCATCTGTTCTCTGGACTATAGCAAAGAATAAAAGCAGCACCTAATTTCCCATAAATTTCTGTTCAGGGAAAGTGCATATAGCAAATACTGGTTTACTTTTGAAAAGGAGGAACACAGGGTAATGGCCGTTGCAGGATTGGAATCTTATGTATTGCTTTTTCACAGTACTGATTTTGTTAATAAAAATAGTATTTTGAGTTATTTTAGCACTGCGGACCACCATTCTTTGTAATGTGTAGACGCATTTAAAAGTTCTTTTCTCTGTCTGTATTGGATACTGGTTAGTTGGTTGAAATCTGTGGTCTTCCTCAGAAAAACAGATTTTATAAAGCTAGCTTTTAAGGTAACCTGTTACTGCAGACGCGTTTTTGTGGTTCTTTGTTGCAGACCTTGTGTTGTGTTTTGCCAGTTTTTTGGTGGGATGTAGATCTCCATTTAACTGCAGAGTCCTTTAAGGAAATTCAGTGTATTTGTAGCTGTTTGTATGTAAAGGGAGGTTCATATTTTGCAGGTAACTAGTTGGTGGTTGCTTTTACCTGGCTCTTCTTCCTGTGCAGCCCTTATTTGGGTGAATGGGGCAGCCACTGTAAAGGGTTTGAACAGGGTGAGTTAGAGTTCAGAAGCATCAGCTAAGTCTGGTGGAAGACCCTGATTAGAAGGTTTTGGGGATTTTGTGGTTTAGATCTAAATTTTCTGTTTGCCACCAAAGCCTTGGAGGTAGGGTTTTGTCATGGGGATGCTGCTGACGCAGCGATAAGCCATGTGTTGTTACTGCCCTGCTCCTTGAGGATAGGGCTGTTGGAGCCTTTGGAAAAACTCCCTCATTCTTTGTGTTCATACGACAGTGGTTTTCAGTCTGTGTTGCCTGGATGGCTGGGTGTCTTAGACTGCTTGCAAAGGATCTGCCAAAGATTATTCAAGGAAGGAAAAAAAGAAAAACAAGCTTTTAACCTACTGCAGAAATACACCTATGTACAATATCTGCAAGTCTTCACTTTCCTTTTTTTAAAAAAAAAAAAGATTTAGGGGTACAATAATCAAAAAAACTGAAAACTGTTTCCATGTGAAGTGTACAGCTCCCATCACCCCAAGAACACAAAGATGCCAAAAAGAAACTTCATCTAGAGCGCAGTATTCATTACCTTTTACTTTTACATAGGTACTGGACTGTAATGATTGACACTGGGCGTGATTGGGTGGTTTTCGGCATTTTCTTTTAACTCTTGTTTGTGATAGGCACAACAGCCAACTGAGAGAGGTTTGTTCTTGCTCCATCCAGCCTCTCAGCTGCATGCTGGGGATGACTTGGTGAAGGGGGCAGCCCACAAAAGGGTGTGTGTGCAACACTCCCTTTATTGCAGTCTTCCTTCCCCTGTGTTTCTTAACGTGACCTCCTCTTCCAACACAGCCTTTGTAGTATGAAGGGCAGCATTCCCAGCAGCCAGCTTGTATGTGGAATCCTCTCCTAAGCTTTAATCATTGTTTACAAGCAGTTACTAGGTGTTGCATGAGCCACAGCGTGAGTGAGCCCCCTCTCTTAGAATCGAGGGACTCTGCCTCCAGCACCAAGAGGAGCTGGGAATTTCCTGACCTTTGGTCTCCCACGTGACAACATGGGAATGACCAGCTAAACCATCAGGCAGGCTGGTACCGAGAGCTGCACTTCACATTGACTCTCACGTGAGGCTCTGGATGGCTGTTGCCTGCGTGACCGTGTGCTCTAGGCACGTGGCAGTCCCCTGTGCAGCCTGCTCAGCATGGCTTTTGCTGGAGCAGCAGGCACGCACGCACGGCTGTGTGCTCCTGCCATTACCAGCCGATGCCGAAATTGCAGTGAAATGGAAAAGCGTCGCTCTGGGCTGCCACGGCAAGGGAAATGCAATATGCAGACAAGCCCCACGAAACTGCTTTCTGGATCAAAGGAAGATGCGAAATATATTCAGGCAAATATTAAAAATAGCCTGTCATATGGTAACAGGGAAAAAAGTGCTGAATGCACAA